TTCTCGTAACGAAAAATATTCTCAAGTGCCAATTCTGGCAGTTGATCAGTGATCCAATTTGCATTTCTCCGTTCCGGTAGCCATCGCGTAGAATCCTGTAGGGCCTCGTAGACGATCTCCTACGCGACTACCACCCTACCGTAGGCACACTGTACCACGAGGGCCCCCACCAGTGGGGCACGCGGCCACGGGCCCACCCGACTACATGACCCTACTGAGGGCCGCGTACGCTGTGTCGTTTTCCAGATGAAGGTGACGACTCGGAAGATGATTGAAGAAGTCAAGAAAGCCTGAAGTGTACCTGTTGAGAAATTCCTTTAACTTCTTTGTATTGTGTTCGACTGCTTCCCTGAAGGTCAGACACTGACCTTGTGTCTTAGGGTCATGTAAGAAGATTTTTTTGACGTTGATAGTCACCTATGGTTACTGATTATGGCACTTACGGCACTGCTGTCGCTAATGTGTTCACTGCGCTGGAGCAAGGCATCAGAACCACCTTCGGTAGGCGGCCTTGGTGGATGCCCGTATTCCCCTGGCGCAACGGGGAATGTTGCCACCGAAGACGTCCTCTACGCGCTCAAGGACTCGCACTTCAAGGTCGCAGGGTCAAATAATGGAACGGCCAACATGCATGAAATGGGAAACATTGGGTGGTAAATCAGCGAGAAGCTTGGCAGGGAGAGCGTCAGACGTGCAGTTCGCGCCATATGTGCCAAGAAGAGACGTGGCGAGGGAAAACACCAAGTTGAAGGCCAAGCTTTGATAATTACCCCGTTGTATCATCATATATATCATGTGTAAGATATTTAGTTATGTAGGATGTAGTTAGGTCAATTGGGCTTCATCTGTACGCATATGTCGTTTTTGTTTCCCATGAGGTTCTCGCTTTCTTCACAACTGCCCGCGTCCCACATAGGTGAGAACCTGACACTACGTCCCTTCCCTCCTTGTTAGAAGAGGCTTGTCTCACTGGCGAAGGTGCTCGTGGGGATACGTCCCACCCACCCGGCATCGAATTTCGATTATGAGATCGTTAATGAATACATAGGAACTAGCCAACCTTGTCGAATACGTATCTATTGGTGCAAGGGTATCGTGCCTTGGAGAAATTGAGGTACCGCTTTCCCCCTTGACGGCGTGTCTGGCAGCTTTTCTCACCAGAATGTCATACCGCCTGGGCTGGGAGGTCCTGTCAGTATTCGCTCGACGCTAATCGGACCTCTCGTAGTTTGCCTAAATGAGAGGGTGAGATGATGGCATAATTCGTACGATGGAGTCTCATTACCACATGCTTCTGATGTTCGACTGCTTTTGGTCGAATCTTGAATCCTCCTCGATTTCAAAATTAGTGGTAAGCTCGGGTACTGACGGTGCTGTCACTGGCGATTTGAATTTTAGCATGTTGAGAATCAGATGGCAGGTCTGTGAGAAGCCACTGGTCACTACATTGTTTGGATCGCGATGTTAGTAGCACACCCACCAGTACTGATACAGCGGAAGTAGGCCATCTGTGACCAAGAAAATGAGTATGAGCCTTGAGGCCGAGTTGCGATATCACTGACGGATAGACGATATATGCAGCAGTTTGTATCAAGAACGAGTAGGGGACGATCGCTGCAAATATGGCTAAGTGGGTTGGTCAGTTCGGGTGGATCAAGGATCCAGCATGGGGTACCTACCAATGACGGCAACAAATATCCAAGCGCCGTCACGCAATACAAGACGAACAATCGGTGGGCGGTTCAAGAGGTCTCGTCCGATATTCCTCTTGTGGATGGCCATCGTCCAGAGAAGAAGGTGTCTAGAGAGAGTAAAAGTGCTTTGCGATGCCCTCAGTGACGACATCCTCAACCCAACTCTAGAGACTCACATACAATATAGCGCTTCGTAAGGCATTGCAGCCGCGAGACAGGACTCATTGAAGCGTAGTAGCTGCACGGTGCGTATCCCGAAGATTAATCCAACGACAACTCCAGAGACCAAAGCCGAGATGAGAAGGATGCCAACGTTCCGATTCCGATGATACAGAGCGTACACTGTCGAAGTATGTCAGTGAAGTATGTCAGTGCAGTCATCCGGTGAACCACGCGAGAAACGTACATCGCAAAGATAAAACCATTTCCAAGGCGGTGAAAAGACAAAGACCGGTGAGCAACTGGAGTACATGCCAGAGAGCACATTCGTGCGGTTTGACATGGCCGGAAAGGGGGCCCAGTATCGCGGCAGCATTGGCTCTGTTAATAGGTTCACTCAGCCGTTAATTGAGGTATGGGACTTAAAAAATGTCACTTACATGTGCGCTCCTATGGAAAAATATCGAGAAAACAGATATAGTCCTTTCACTCCAGTCCAGCGACTTCTATGAAACAGATGAGACCTTTGAGGACCACAAAGGGTAGGATAGCTCACTTCCATACATACTCGTGTTCGTGCTGATAGTTGATCAAGGTGTCCCATACCGCGAGTGTAAGTGCACTGACTGGGAAGAGTTCAGCTTGTCCGAAGTATGATAGTACGAGATCGCGCACACAATGAACAATTCCGCACAAAATGCGTGTTGAGCGGCTCCGTCGTGCTCATGGGAGCCTATGTGGATAGTACAGACACGCACAGGAGGAAGAGGACTGTGTGAAGAGGTTGCGCATATCCCGTGCAAGGCAATTATTGACAACTGGTCTTATTTTAGCCGAACATGGATACCTTTGACAGCGCGCTTGGTTCAATGGAGACATGCCAAATAAATGTCAGAATCTGCTGATGGCCCCTACTTCAGGCATGCCACATCTACACATCCCCAAGTTGAACGTTGAACTAGGCCTAGGCTGAACGCCCGAGATCAAACCCTGCTAAAGACATCAACGGAATAATTGAGGTTCACTGGATGTTCACTGGATGTTGTCAAATCTCGTCTCAGCCGCTCAATTCAACCATGTATCTGCTGAATCGTTGCCACTTCAATCGTAGTAAGTAGTAATAACGTTGTCCTGATTGCAGTACGAGACTGTACCACTGTATGGGCTCATGGAGACATGATCCTTGCGATCCGCAGAGTCTACGGTCACGGTCTCCGAGGCGCCAGTATGTGAAAGAAGGCGGATGCCGTCGTGGGCGGTTATGGCGGGTCCGCCGTAGGAAATGGCCGCCGAGAATAGGGTCGATGGCAGGATCCAGTCTGATGCATACACCGCTTGCTGCAACGCTAACACGATCGAAAGCGGATAGTCCATGGGGTGGGAGATGCGGTAGTTGTAGATGGTGATATTCTGGGCAAGTGGTGGAAAAGAGTCGGTGTTTGAGACGAGAACCCAAAGTTTTGATATAGTTCGATGTATTGGAAAGAGGTGACATGACAAAGAGAAGGCCACACGGGCTGCACTCAAGATAACCTCGCTCGCAATGGGAGCTATTCGATCGAGGGAAAGCCCAGTGGCGTCTGCCTCATTTGCTGCCAAGGTACGTAGATCGTATATCTTGAGGCAGAGTGCGTGCGAGTCAGACTGACTGCGGTGAAACAGGATGAGATGCCCAGATACAACATCAATGTCTGCATCAGACTGGCGCGGAATCAGATTGGCTAGCGCTGCTTGGGGAACAGGTCAAAAGACGGACCTGATTTGTAAGGTCGTAAACGGACAGTATCCCTGTCGATATTTGAAGGACTAGAAGTGAAAAATCACCACAACCGACAAAGAAATCGCATTCAACCCGCAATTTAAGGTCGTTGGTGGTTCGGAACCGTGGAATGAGGTCTTTGAGGCACAGATTGGTGGATATTCCGGTTGACATGTCCACGCGTAAGACTTCGATCTGGCTATGTATTCGTTCAGATATCAGTTACCAGCTTGAACTAGAGAACGGAGCGGCTTACCTGTCAATTGCAAGGGTTAACATGTCAAGTGTACTGAGCCAAATCCCAACAACGAACACCCTCTCGTTCTTCGTAGGACTGACAGCGAGGCCTTTGATGTTGATAGCCAAGCCTAGGGTTGAACCCTGTCACTCCGTCATATCCCTCGCGATACTCCTGCATTTGAGGTTTAACCGACCGTAAAAAATGAATTCTCCTCCTGGCAGAAGGAATGTTTCGTTGGACCTTCGGTAGTAGTGGTCTAGAAAAAAGCCATGCGGGAAGGTTATCTGGCGTGCAATGGAGGGCGTGGTTTGCGATTGGAAATATCGGGGACCCAGAACGGTACGTTTGGCCAAGTTGTAGAGTTCATCGGAGGTTAGATCCTCGATGACCTGTGTTGCCGATAGCAAACCAAATTTGCGATATTCATGAGCAGTAATTAGCCTGGCCCAGATCACTCGCGATCGCGAAATAGCTTGAAATTTTTTTGATGCCTAGAAGACGGACCTCGTCAGCTACGGGTCAGCGTTGGTGTGTAGATAGAACAGGAGACTGACTGCGCCAAAAGCAAGGACAGTGGGGATATCTTGTAATCCGCAGGCTATCTTGTGTATAATGTCATCGACAAGAACTGGGTGGCCTGGTGGGGAGACGTCCATTTGGTTTCTGATTGTTTGGTGGTACCAACAAAAGCGGGCCCTGCTACATGTTGTTCGACATTCAGGGTTGAGTTTCATATCATAACGAAGGGTCGTGTGACTCCTGCCACCCCCAGCAGCACACGAATGGCTACATATCGTATCTAGATGGCACTGTCGTAGGGTCTAGAATGACACGCCATTAGTAGTGATTAGGGCTTTAAAGGCAAACGTTCAAGATATGTCGCACATTTAACAAGACAATGCCGCAACGAACATGCCACACCTAACCACACTTCTTCCCATGGTTCAAACTTGCCAAGTAGTTGCGCTGAGCTCCAGAATGGTGTCAGAATCTGAGACTGCCGGTAGTAGACGCGTCCAGGAAATGTTTTGTTTACAGTTATTTATCGTGGATCTTCCAGGCATGTTCTCCTCCTCCCCCCACCTCCCAAACGTCCGGGAATGGTTTCCTCTTGCCCTGGAAGATTTCTTAGGGGGGCAAAAGGTTCTGATGAGAGTGGGATTTGAACCCACGCCCCTGAGGACCAGATTACAGTTTTAACACCGAAAGTAGCAGCTACTTTGATCCTTAGTCTGGCGCCTTAGACCGCTCGGCCATCTCACCCGTGAAAGCAGGCAATATGATTGGAATATAAGCACTCCCCCTGAATAAAGATTGAGTTCTCCCTGGTCAAATATTCGTGATGTGAATATCGCTTGCTATTCGTTGATTGCTCGCGTCGTGTACATAGCCTGTGGCGCAGCAGCCATGTTGCCTAAAAGAGTTGTACCACTTCGAGCAATCCTAATCCATGTTAAACTTTGGAGTAGCCTCCAACGGAAACCACTACTACAAGTAAACAGCGAGTAAATCATCCCTCTTCATTTGCTCTTCATTTCCCAACTTTTGGGTCAGCGCAACAACACCTGATCCAAGTGATGATCAACCGCAGGGCTTTGATATGCATGCTTGGGTTTGTGAGTTGCCATATTGGCCAGACCTGCGTGGCAAACCATCAGTCATGTGTGTGTCCACCGGGATGCACGAACCTAGGCAAGTTAATGTTTCTTTCAGAGAGTGCGGCGTCGAGGCTTCGGATCGGATCGGAATTGTGAATAAGGCGTAGGTTCGAATCCCATTCCAGGTATCGAGATGTGGTTCGAGGGTAAAATTTCGGACTTGTTCATTTACCCACCCCCAGAACTAGATTTACGTTCGGCAGATGAACTCATTGACTGAGCGCAGTCAATCCAAACACTCGTGCTGAGCACACATAAAGAAATATTAGGCGTCCAGTCGTCACTCACGATAATACCCCTTCAAGTGATCCATTTAATGAACGATAGACGACCATCGGTCTGGACTGAGTCGCCCTCGGAGGTCCTATTCATGACTCATAAAGGATCGCTCTGTGGCCCCACTTCTTGCGAGGTGTTCGATGTCAACATACATGGCAGGATCTGGTTGAACGTGTTTACGACAAGGGCATAGGACATTGAGGTGACAACTACCCACACAGGTAATATTGCTGTTAAAAACGAGATCTGCGACAACGAGGTAGAAGTATGATTCGGTGGTCGGGGCCGGGGCCACTTACCCAAGTTTTCTTGCTTAGATCATCAAAGATGGACGCAGGGATCGCTCATGCAATTTCCAGCAGGAACCCCGAGGCAAACACCAACAACTCCCAGCCGCTCAGAGCCAATGAGGGAACACACTATGGGAAACATATCTTCGTTCTTGGTAACCAAACACTCTATTACCACCGGTCTGTTGTCATCGTACTCCAAAAGCTCCTTCATCTTGGTGGGAAAACCCACGATTTTTTCACAACGAATAGTGTGCACGCCCATCGCCTTGACCGGAAGGAGGAAATCGGGATTTCAAGTTGACATCTTGGTATGAGAATAGTGGTGCTTGTAGAATAGATCTAGAGTGCGATGTAAACGTTCAAAGTACCAATGTCCAGTACAGCCATTGTGAGATAAACCTTACCACTAAAGGACCATGCCTTGAAACTCGTTGTTCAAAAGAAGAACCTTGACGCCAATGTTGTATTGTGAGGTGGTGGCGGGTTCCATGGCCGTCATGCTGAAGGAGGCATCACCGTCAATATCTACGACAGTCTTGTGAGGTGCAGCGACTTCAGCTCCAATGACAGCGGGTAGACCAAAACCCATCGTCTAAAAATGCTGAGTTCGCGTTAGACATCATTTATCACCACCAATTGACAATAGAGGAAGGAGGTACACCAAGACCACCTGACGTGACGAGCGACTGAGGGTGGTTCCGACGGGGTATTGCGCCGCCTACATCTGATGCTGGCCGACGCCAGCAGTTACGATGTTATCCTCGTTGCGATGCGCCGTCTGTCGATCAAGCTCCCCGATGACCTCCTGCGGCTTCATCTTGTCTCCTTTCGCGCAGGTGAACGGACAGGTCGTCTTCCAATATTGGATGTCTTTGAACCACTCCTCGCGCGACGCAGGCTTGATCAGAGATGCCAACGACGCCAAACTAGTGACCACGTCACCCAGGATCGTCGCGGCTTCAACCACCTTGTTGACATTCTTGGGCATGATCTCGAAGTGAATTATGCCCCCCGTCCATGCACAGTCGCGACCTTTGCGGTTGGCGCAAAAGCATCGACTTTGCCAACGAAACGGTCGTCGAAAAGAGCACCGAGCGCAATGATGACGTCGGCCTCTTGCATGACGAAGTTGGCGTACGCGCTACCGTGCAAGCCAAGCATATATAGAGAACGGTCATCAGTTTCGCCAAAGGCACCGAGGCCTTGGAGCGTCGTACATACGGGGATGTCTCCTTGAGCTGGGAGCTTCTCGAGTAGAGGCAAGGGCACCGTTGTCGGCGCACACGACGGGACGTTGAGCTTGGTTGATTAGAGCTGCTGCCTCCATAATCAGACTGTGGCCCTTGAGGGATTGGAGCGGGTTCATGGGGAGGCGTGCACTGGGAGGCGTGATCGTGTATGGCAGCAGGGTAAGGAGAATGGCAGCTGTGACATCCTTGGGCAGATTGACGAGGAAAGGACCAGAGGTGGCGCTTTTAAGGGCCTCCTTCATACGACGAGGAAGCTCTGAAATGTGTACATCGAGTTCCCGCATGAACGTGTATCTAAGGAGGAGTAGTCGATATCGGATAAATGGACTGGGCCTTCGCATGAGGTATGCGGCATGGTACGGGTTAGCCCAAGCAAAGCTAGGTTGACGAGGCACCGGCTCCGCTCTGGCCGCCGACCTGGAGAGCATCCTGACGTCAGCATTGATAACTGTCTAGACGTCTAAGTCCTGTGGCTCAGTTGGTTACATTGACCGTAGAACATATGTTGTACACATCGACAACGTCCGAGTCCGAGTCCCAGGCTCGTGACCAACCTGTGCGATATAAAGCCGACGGCTGATCCCGCCGGATCAGGCTTTGAGAAGAGATGCTTCCCATGATAACCTTGAAGTGACCTCTCGATTCGATGAATTGTATCCAGAACCTCCCAAACAACCACCCATGTCATCCTTGAGCAAATTTTACAAGTTCGTCGTATCTTCCTCTCAGCTACGGTGAACTACGGCTCATCTATTTGTAAACAGAGAACCGGAATTCGAAACTCTCCAATTGCATGCAGGACAAGACGTTGACCCCGCCACTAATGCTCGCGCCGTTCCTATACATGCTTCTGTTGGGTTCGGCTTCAACGATTCTGCCGTAAGCTACATCACATATTGTGTTGCCTGCTACTTGCTTCGCCTGATCGCAGCATGGAGCTGACCTCTTCGCGTTGAAGTACTGCCATCTATTTCTTAGTACAACTGAATTTCTTAGGTAAAACCAGGCACTTTGGCAGCATCTACTCTAGTATTGGGAACCCCACGGTGGTTAGTTACTCGTTTTCACAGGGCCTACAAATATATCAAACTGACTTCTAGGGAGTCTTTGAACAACGCATCGCGGCGCTGGAGGGTACGTTCAGTGCCAGGTGTTCAGATTCTGCACCCGACTTAAGTCTGACTTGTAGCCAGGCGGTGCTGCTGCGGTTGCTACCTCCTCGGGGCAGTCGGCTCAATTCCTGGCTATCCTGGCAATTGCGGAGTCCGGCGACAATATCGTCTCAGCGTAAGAATGAATATAATTGTGTTATATCCATTGAATGTACGCTTAGATCTATGTTGTTTGGTGGGGTGAGGATCGTTGTCGCGCACTTTTGACTGTGGTTAACTTACAGTGATTCATCAAGACTTACAATCAATTCAAAGGTTATCTAGCTTCTCACATTACTCAATGCGCATCTCAGCCAACTGCTGCTTTAGTGATATTCAAGAGATTTGGGCTTCGTGTCAAGTTCGTGGTTTCCCGTGATCCAAAGGACTTCGTGGGCGCAATCGATGACAATACGAAAGCTATCTTCGTTGAAACCATTGCCAATTCAAACTCTACACTCGCTGATGTCGCAGGCCTCGCACAGGTATGACCTCTCTACAAACATGAGTCTACTCTGACTATTTCTTCTCCCAGGTTGCTCATGATCACAAGATACCCTTAATTGTCGACAATACGTTTGGAATGGGAGGTATGTATCGATCGCGTTCGACAATGAAATGTTATTGTCTAATACAAGCAACAGGATATCTGATCAAGCCCATCGCTCTCGGCGCCGATATCGTTGGTATGTCCTTTGTTGGTTGTGAGAAGCGACCATCTCACGCGTCAATAGTGGCAAGCGCGACTAAATGGATTGGCGGTCATGGAACGACGATCGGGGGAGTAATCGTGGACTCGGGCACGTGCGGTTGTATCCCCACGATCGACTGAAGGCTGATCTTTCCCGAAGGAAAGTTCAATTGGAAGACATCTGGAAAGTTCCCAGGACTTACGGAGCCTTCGGAAGGTCATCATGGGCTCGTGTTCGCTGACACTTTCGGCGGCCTTGCTTACGCCGTCAAAGTTCGAACTGAGGTGAGCGCTCCCACAACCCACCCCCAGAAGTATTACCTGACTCTTTGCATCAGCTCTTGCGCGACCTTGGACCGGCTCTCGACCCCTTCGCAGCATTTCTCCTCCTCCAAGGCTTGGAGACTTTGAGTCTCCGCGCAGAGCGGCACTCACAGAATGCATTAGCTCTGGCGAAGTTCGTTTCGTATCCATTTATGTACCCGATGTATTGGCTTAATGCCTCGCTATAGGTTTCTCGAGAAGCACCCTGGTGTCTCGTGGGTCTCATATCTGGGCCTTCCAACGGATCTTTCGCATGGGCTCGCCCTTCGGACGCTCCGCAGCGGCCAGTTTGGAGGTGTCTTGAACTTCGGTATCAAAGGTGATCTTGCCGCCGCGAACAAGGTAGTCGAAAGCCTCAGATTGGCTAGTCATCTCGCCAATTTAGGTTCGTGGATTCCTGCTTTCCTCGCAAATTTGGATTAAGTCTGACTGATTGACTTGATAAAACAGGCGATGCCAAGACGCTGGTAATCCAGGCCTCAACGGCCCAGCAGCAGCTTTCTGCAGAGGAGCAGCTAGAGAATGGCATCGCTCCTGATTTGATTCGAGTAAGCTGTACTTTCAATTGGATCTTGATTTTATTGACATGGTTTTCAAGGTGTCAGTTGGAATCGAAG